CGGGAAACAGAAAGGCGGTCTTGAGAAGTCTTGATGTTGCAAGTATGCTTTGTACAGGCGATGCATGGAAGAACAGATGCCGTGATATACAGAGTTGCGCGCGCCGTTTATATGTGAGAAGGTTGGAAAAGATTCTTTGCCGACGAAGCCGCTGCTGAAAGGGGATCGTTCAATGGACGGACGGACGGGCGCAGTCGAAGCGAGCGACGGGCGGGTTGCGTATCGGCGTGATGGCGGTGCGTTGGAGTAGTGGCCCCTAGTCCCAGGAAACCGGACAGTCGCACGCAGGCCAGATAACATCTTGGGTCCCCAAGTAAGGCGAAGGCGAAGGCATGTGAGATTCGAAATGTCGTAAACGCCCCCGGCTCCATGCAAATGCTAATGTGGCCTTCGAAAAGGTCGAAAAGAGGAAACGATGATCTATAATTAACGTGCTTTTTCGCGAGGGAACTCCAATCTTGAGGGGTATTCGTCGTACTGCCATGGCCACGTAAGGTAGTCGACACAAGGGAAGTGATGACAACAGAGACCGAAAGCCAGCAGTCTCTGGGAAGTTGCAGGTCACTAGGTCTCCACTTCTGCCTTGCAACCATCCATGAAGGAGTTCTTGGGCCAGTCGTACTTGCTGGATTTCCTGGTTCATGTTAGTACTATCATAACAGATGTGATGTATGGACTTACCAGTCAGTGATGTTAGGGTTCGCATAAGGCTCAGGGTGGTTCCTGATGTAGTCGGTAGTAGGGTAGCCCTCGGGATCGCAAGTCATGATCTGGTTGTCCTTTGGCTGGTAGATGCGAATGTAGTCTATCCGCATCTTGGCCGGGAGGTCATGCGCCTCGATGTCCTCAATGTTGATGGCTGCGAAACTGTTCGACATTCCGAAGTTGGCAATGATGGACATTGGCTCTTCCGGGATGACTCGCGTTCCAATGTTACCGTTGGCACGCGTCGCTGGTGCGGACATGGTCCAGGTCTTGTCCTCTCCGACATACCAGGTGATGAAACCTTCGTCGCCGGTCTTGTACTCGAATGAGTATGTCTGATACTGCTTGCCGTTGTACCAGTCATTGTTCAAGTTGGTCAACCCAGAGATAGCTTGCTGGAAGGGACCACCCTTGTAAGCGTTCATCGTGGTAATCGAGGTATCGTAGAGTTCCATGTATTCTGCCAAACATTAGTTGAATCCGATCAAACGGAAGTGAGAGAATTTACCATAGTCAGGCATGTACCATGTGTCGAACGGTGCTGCTTGGAAGGACTGAGACACGACACCAATGGCGTTGGACTCTCCAGGACCGAGGAAATGAACTGAACCTTCCAAAGCATCGATTTCCGGAGCACTGCGGGATTTGCCGGGGCTGGGATGGTCTTGGCCGTCGCAGGTGCAAGCGGGTAGCTTCATACCAGGCAGGTAGCTGAGACCGTCGTATGAACTCTGGTTTGGCGTGATACCAATGTCGCACTTGTCGTGGTAACTGTACGGCCAAAGACCCTCAGTCGAGGCGAGGTAACCGGGGCGAGCCAAGTTGCCCATGGTCCAGAAACCGGGCCAGAAACCACTCGTGTTACCACGACCAGGCAGCGAAATGCTGGCCTCCAAGTGTCCACCCTTGTAGCAGAGCTTGTTCCACGACTGAATCATACCAGAGCGGTAATCGAGGCCGTGGCTCTTCTCTTTGGTGAATTTCAGGACAAGAACGCCGTCTTCGGTGTAGGCTTGATCTGGGTCGTACCACTGGAACATGTCAGCGCTGCAATTTGAAGATGGCTATTTCGAAACTTACCTCCAAATCCATAGTAGCACCGTACCAAATATCAACAGCTTGGAAGAATGGGTCATCTCCGTCGTAGAAGGTGCGACCGGGAGTGTTGAACTCGTCTGAGAAGACCAAGACCTGCTCCTCGCCGTTGTAAGATGTTCGCGTCATGGCCTCCTTGGGCGTATCGGGGTCGATGAGGCCCTTTCGTAGGTTGTTCAGTAGCGGCTCGCTTTGCTTGCCTTCTATGCACAGGGGATTGTCTGTGCATGGACCTCGTTCTGGTGCCGTGAGATCCTCGACGAAGGTGCTGCGATGCGTTAGTGAAGTCGAAGATCGTCGGAATCGCAAATACGTACAGAACAGGGTAACCGATGAAAAGCATGAGAAGACCGAGCGCGAGAATAGCCAAACCACCCAGGTTGACTATACCTCTCCGGGTGAAGACATCGCAGTCTCTCTTATCCTTCTCGTTCGGGTCGGGATTGTGCAGGTAGTCGTCCTTCTCCACGTCTTCTGGGAAGAGCAACAGTCCAGCCGATGGGTGGATGTTGAACTTCTCAGAGACAGTCTGGGTGTTGAGATCTTCTTCGCTGCCAGCCCGCGACGGCGCTCTCGAGTCGTCGAAAGGCGAAGCAAAAGGCCCTCCCGTCATGTCTGAGCTCCAACTTGTCCGCCGCGAGGAAAAGCCAGAGGGCGATTGCATGGGCGATTCGTCTCGGTAGGAGCGCTGCGTCCGGATCTTCTGCGGCGGGAGCAACATCTCGGCGGACTCTGCGATGGACGCATTGCTGTATACATCGGGCGCGCCGGGCGATCGGATGCCTTGACTTGGGGCGGTGCCAGGGCGGATTGGCTGGGTTAACGAGCGCGCCGAGTTGGTTCGTGCCGTGTTGGGGCGCACAGCAGGCATCGAGTTGTCGTCGGTCCTGGGCTCGTGGGAGCCCGAGTTGAGGCGAAGATGGGGCGGCCCGTCTCCCCTCGGCGATTGCGGCATCATGGTGCGAGGGAGCGTATGCGGTGAGTGTTGGCGATAATTCCTGGCTAGCTGCTATTCGGATAGCAGAGCGAAGTGAAGGTGATGAATCGGCGTAGGCGGTATGCAGGTGGAAAACGAGTGTTGCGGTAACCTATGGCACGCGGGTGGGCAAATTCCTAACAGGGGCTATGCTGCAGCTAGTGGTGTCAGGTAAAGCACGCGGGAAGCCGAATATCCTCCACTCGTGATGCGATGCTGCTCGGTATCGCTGCTGGGCGTCGAGGAGCAGGAAGGAGGGCGGCGTGAGGGAAATGGGGGAGGTCGAGGTTCAAGGGGAGGTGAATCGATGGCTCCTGGCCCAAACGGGGGCGCCCAGGATAAGGGACTTGGCAGGGCAGGCGCTGGTCAACGGCAGCATGCGCGAATGACGGATGACGCAGGACGCACTGGGCTGGAAGGTGCAGATTGGAATGGCGATGGTAATGATGCGGGAAATAATGCAACAAAGAGAGGCACTGATATGTTGTGGGATAGTGACAGGAACACAACAAGCGACGGCGCCGTGGTCAGAGAGTGGCAAGCAGCGGTGGGTGGTGGGAGAGGTTAGGGCTTTGTTCCTGAGTCGGGCCCACACGGACTCCAGGGAGGGCGAAGATCTCGAAGCTCGACTAAGGAGCGGCCAATCGTCGCTGCCACGGCGCTTGCATGCGGCGAAGATTCAAAGGCCCGCTTACGCACACCAGCGGGAGAGCCTTGCTAAATTTACCAAGCCCGTTTCAACACTTTTCCACTGCCTCTCCTATGGTGGAGCCTGTCAAAAAGTACCCAAATTGCCATGTCATGCGTGAAGCCCGTCGTGCTGCTGTCTGTCTGTCTGCCTGTCACCCAAACTTTGACGCCTTCAACCAAGCCGTCATTGCCCTCAACACCCCTCACATGCAGCCTCTCCACGGTACACACGATTGTCTCTATAGAAACCGCCTGCATGCTGCATCGCAACCGCTAGCTCTGCATATCCCGCGCCTCAACACCGTATTCCAAGAATCCAAACGCGCATCCGCGTCTTTGCACGCGCAATCGATAGCCTAAGATCATCGTCTCTACCATTACGCGTCGGCCCATATATTATAACCGCAATCCCCCATCCTCGCAAGCGGCTTTGGCTACCGCACTTGTACCAAGGTACCATTTACAAGAACGTGCCTCGTGCTCACGACCGTTGAGAAGCGTACATGTAACTTCACGATCTTATCTCGTGTTGACCAGGTCGCCCACCGTATCGCTGCCGAAGATAGCGTGGCGATCTGACACCATCCTTTTTGATCCTTCCCACGTCCCTCACCTTCTTTTCGGATCCCCGAGACATGCAATGGCCAATGCTCTAACCCATCCGTTTCGTCTCTACCGTTCCCTATCGTCGTCTGCATCTTCATCAACCCGCTCCACGCCGGTCTGTCCAGCTTGCCGTCGTCCTAGGCTTCCCGACACGTATCGGTCGGCTTCCAATCTGGTTGAGACTGCTGGATCCCATTGCCCGGGGCCAAGCGCTCCCTAGGGTACACCCGAAATGAAGCTCGGAGGCGCAGCTGACCGCCCGGTTCTGGAACTTTGCAACGTCCGGCCGAGGCATAGCCGGATTGGGCGAACTAGTGTGTTTGAGCAGCCAATCAAACTATATATCGATACCGTATTGCAAGGCGGCGGTCTTGACGTACACGAGGCTGAACTATCTATATGTCGTGCAAGCTGAAGTCGAGCAACGAGCCTGCTGGACGTCTCTTGCCATACTGGCGGTTCGAAGCCCGCCGCGCGACTCATGCGTGTCGTCTGGGCTTCACCATTGCCGCGTGCATACACGCACAGGCATCATGCGACCATGCATACATGTTTTCTTATCCAAACATGTACGATAATTGAAGGGGAGGTTGGAGAAAACAAGTCCACACTGAAGCCCAAAGCTATGACAACCGTACAGTATGTAGAGATGCACGTAGCGCAGATCTACCAGCAGATTACATCTACTAATCGTCTTTCTGACGTCGCATCAGTAACCCGCACGCTCCACCATCTTGTCAGTGAGACCCGTTGACTGTCAACCATAACCCAGCGAGCGCGACGTGTTTCAAACGGCGTTATTCGCGCCATGGGCACCCGAGCCCCATCATCGCAGGAAGGAACGTGTTCGATGTAGATCGGCATGTGTATAATCCGGCGCAGCGCATCGTGATCATGTTCATGTCTTCATTTCCCGGTGCATTGCTGCTTACGACTCTACGGCAAGAGCCTTGAGACCCACGATCCTGCCTTCCGCCTTGTCCACGCCGACCACGTAGTATTCTGCCCTGGTGCCCGACAGCTCCACCCGGTATACGTTGACGGTCCCGTTACCGGCTGCCTTCACCGCGTCGATGATCTTTTTGTATTGGCTCTCGAAGCCGGTGCCTTTGACCTCTTCTACCGAGTCGCTTCCGATGAGCTTCTTCAGATCGTCTGTGTGTATGTTAGCGCATGTTATACTTCGTGAGGCTTGTCGTCGCTGTGCTCGTAAATGAGGGGAATCCTACCAGCAGACACGCTGTCGCCATCAAACTCTAACGCAACCGGTTCAAACGGCTCATCTGAGTCGCTGACATAGTACTCTTCTACTTGTTCTAGCGCTTTGGGTACGGCCGTGTTCACGCTCTTGGTGCCATAGCTCTTCTTCTGCGACGCGTCCTTGGTCTCCGCAGAGCCAGTGTCCTGATTTGCTTTGTCGAGAAAAGCGGCGTAGTCGGCGTCGGAAGACATGTTACAAAGGGCGGTCAGGCGAACGGTTTTGACGCAACAAGCACGTATGGGCAGGAAAGGACGTGAGACGTAGACGATGGAGTGGAAGGTGCGACGAGTGGGTTGGTGATTTTGGACAGCGACACAGGAGGATGGGTTGTTGTTATGGCGCGTGAGTCGTTTGGGAATGTATGAGATAGACGAGAGCTTCGCGTAGTCAGGATGTACAGTATAGCGAGGAAGATGTTGGAGAAGCCTTTCCATGATTTCGCGATGCAGCGCGCTGCGATGACGCAACAGCAGCTAACTGCGGGCGTTTCCACGAGCAGGTGAGCAACCCCACCATTTGCGCCGACCTTGATCACTGCAAGTTGCAGCGAGTAATGACACCACCTGCGCTACCAATGAACAGTAGTCACTTGAATGATACGATGAAGTCATAGTGCACACCAAAGCAACAGGGTATATAGTGATAATCGCATTTTCATTCTCGTGGGTGATTAAGAAATACATACAACACTCGAAAAGCGCGGGGACTATGTAAGGCGCGCAGGGTATCATCGCCATGCGGAAGTACGTTACCACGTCTCTTCCATGTTTTGCCCTCCAACTAGACATCCCCAACTCCCCAAATCTCATGTAACTAATTGCAAAAACAAGAAAGTAAAGCCCTGTCAGAATTCTAGTGCTGCCCGAAGAGTTCCTCGAAATCATCATCCTAGGACTTTTGCTCGGCTGGCGTGGGAGCATGAGAAGGAACGCCATTTGTGGGCGCGTTGCGAGGGCTGCTGCGCTCAGACTTGGGCGCGGTAGGTTTCGCGTCATCACCCTCATCATCGTAGTTCTCATCCACATCCATCTGTCGGGCAGCCGGCTCGTGGTGCTCAGGTCGCTCGATACGCTCCTGCTTTGGTGTCTCCGACATGCGAGACAGCGGTCGCGCAGCTGCCATGGGTGGGAGCGACGGCGGGTGGTGAGCAGCCTCGGACGGATGGTAGCCATCGTTGAAGCGACGGGGATCGGGACCTTCCTGAGGGCTCTGGCGCGGCACCTGAGGAGACGACATGCGGTGTGGGGGAGTTGGACGGCGGCTGTGAGGCTCTTCCATCTTCTGACGTTTCTCGTCGTTCATGGGAGGCTTTGCATTCGCGTGGTCATTCTCCTCCCACTCGCGGTGTCGCTTCGGTGGAGCAGTTGGTGGTCGGTCGTCGCGCTCGCGGGCTGCTTGCTCAGCAGCCGTCTGGGCAGAAGCTGGTGGAGGAGCTCCGCTAGCAATGCCACCGCTAGCAGAAGGATCGGCATGGTGCTGGTACGGTCCCTGGTATCCGTTGCGCGGAGATCCCGCTCGGTTCTCAACGATTGGGCGCACTTCCGGAGGTGGGCTGGCAGGGCGAACACCGTATGGGGGTACGCCACTCTGGCTAGAGGCCTGGGATGGTGGGCCACCAAGACCTGTAGGTGGGGGCGGGGGTGGAGGAGGAACACTACCAGCGTGAGGACCGTAGTTCGGGTTGGAGATACGGTTAGGCTGAGGTGGCTGCTGTTGCTGATGTAGGGGCAGAGGTGGTTGTGGCTGCGCATGAGCCGCCTGCGGTGTCAGCTGCGGTGGCTGAGGGTGGTAGGGGCTGGGAGCAGCATGGTGTGTCTTCGGCGATGGAGACATGCCACGGCGCATTGGCCCGGGTGGTCCGGGAGGTGGGGGACCAGCTGGCCCTTGAGGACCCGGTCCGTTTGTGGGAGGACGAGGAGGCTCTGCGTATGACCTGGGAGCTTCCTGTCGGGGGCTTACGGGCCTCTGGGGAGCATGCTGTGTAGGCGGTCGGATGCCTTCGCGCTGCTCATATGGGTTCAGCTGCTGTGGTGGAAGGCCAGGGTCGCGGATCTGTGCCAGAGGGCGATCCCATCCGGGCGCTAGGGCTGGAGGAGCAGGACCTTGCGGAGGCTGCTGGGGCTGAGGTGCGCCCCATTGCGGAGCGGTAGGTCCATGTACAGAGGCAGGCTGGTAGGCTTGAGGGTGCACGTCTTGAGGAATAGGAGCATTGCCCTGGTTCGGGGCGCCAGCAGACGTCTGTCCATTCTGCAGAAGCTGCAGGCGAGCCTTGATGTGTACGTTGGACGGGTCGAGGTCGGCCGCGCGCTGGTATGCGTCTAGTGCATCCGCTGTCTGGTTGTTGCAGGACTCGTACTGTGCCATTGTTAGTGAGGAGCCTTCAATCCAGGGACGATCAACTACTTACCAGTGTGCCGAGGTCGTACCAGACTTCTGAGATGTTGGGGTTGAGGCGGATGGCACGGGAGTATGCATCTAGCGCGTCGCGGTACTGGTTGATCTGGTAGTACAGTACACCAATGCTGCACCAGAAGGTCGGGTTCCTGCCGTCACGGTACACAGCTTGCTGATAAGCCTCGTACGCCTTGGGGTACTTCTGCTGTGACATGTAGCAGCGTCCCAGCAGGTACCAACTCTGCGCGTCCGTTTGATCTAGAGCAATGGATTAGATACACGCGCATAATCACACGGGGATACAATGCTCACCGGAAGCAACAGACTTCTCCAGGTACTCAATGGCCTGCTCCTGGCTAGCGTAGTTGGTGCTCTGCTGGTGGTGTAGCCAGCCCAGCTGCTGTAGGACCTTGGCGTGGTTGGCATCACGCTCGAGAACCCGGCGATAGGCGCCCTTGGCTGCTTCGAACTAATCTCCATGTCAGCGGTGAAAGCTTACGAAGCTCGGTGAGACAAACCTCTTTCTGCTGTTCGTACACATGTCCAATCTGGAACCAGATATCCTCCTCGGTAAGCGGGCGAGGAGGATTGGTGACGATGTATTTGAAGCACTGTCAACTGTTAGAAGCTTTCTTGGGATGAGTTTCAAGTATGCTTACGTCTAGACTCTGGTTGAACTTCTGCTGCTGCTTGTAGATTATGCCAAGGCGGAAGTAGATCTCGTTTGCCTTTTCGAACGTAGGCTCCATGCGCATGACCTGCGAGAAGGCCTCTTCGGCGTGCTCAAGCGATCCGTAGCGGTCATATAGTATTCCGATGCCATACCAGAGCTTGGGCTCCTTTGGGTCAGACAGATGGTACAGCGCCTGCTGGTAGGCAGAGTACGCCTGCTGCAAGTCATCCATCATCAAGTAGCAGTGACCTGGTTTTGTTAGTGAGATGATTCGCGAAAGATGCGCGCAAATTTCTTACCAAGGCTGCCCCAAACGTCGCCATTGGCTTGGTCGACTTTGAGAATCGTGCGCAAGTATTCGACAGCTGCTGGAAAGGCATCTTTGGTGCGGAGAATGCACGCGATACCTTGCATAGCTGGCACAGACCACTGGTTGAACTTCAAGGCCTGTTCGTAGCATTGCATGGCGCCTTCCAAGTCTTGCATTTGCTCAGAGAGGGAGCCTGTTGGATGTTAGTCTGTGCCAGTCCTGCGCACACTGGATACTGGCTTACCCATCTGAGTCCATACAGCCTCGGTCAATTGCCCCAAGTACTGCGACGGTGTCTTGGGCTGGGTCGCGTGCGGCGGGTGTCCATTCACCTGCGCGTGCGCGGGATGATGCTGCCCTACATGATGCGGGGGCATGCCCGTAGTGGGCGAGGGTTGCTGGTGTTGTGCCATGAAGGCTGCTTGCGACCGATCTGGCTACAATGCGACGTCTGCGCTACTGAAGCTGCGACAGTGACGGAATAGTCTGATGGAGGGGAAGACCAGACTGGAGCAACTGAATGATCGCCGGGCTGTCTGTTTGGATGAGTCAGGAGATGCTGCTTGATGGTGGTGATGGAGGATGGCTACGTACAGGCGGGCGTGGGAGCGCGTCTCGCAAGCGTACTGACGGGTGCGAGTCGAGGCGTGGAGGTTGGCGCGGAGAACGACAGCAGCGCGCAGAGGAACACGGACGGTGTGGACCCCGACTTGGAGGGCAGAGCTGTCAGAGAGCAACAATCAATGTGGTGGTCTTCGCCACGACGTGTGTTGAGAAGGAAGGACTGGTGTAGGATGCAGCCTCGCGGAAGAGAAAACAGATGAGGAAGCCGCAGACCAACAGATGGAAGGGGCGCTCCAACGTCCCTTCCATCAGACGTGGGTAAGGGGACCAGATGTTGCAGGGATGCATGGTTTAGCGTGCACGGCTAGCCCAAGACCCACTTTGTGCCAGCCAGTGGGCCGTAAATTACGTGCCTAGCATCGACGCGCTGACTATCCGCCGCGACCCATGCAACCACCGCCGGCGCCTTACTGTACTACTACATCACATTGGTGCCAGGTGACAGACGAGCCAGACTGCTTAATCACGCTGCGCCAGGCGATTTAATTCTGGCAGATCGAATGGTTTGTTTCAGATCGTTCCGTCGGATCTGGTACGGTTCGTCCCAGGTTCACCCAACAGCGGAGCCGATGGATTGACACGCTACCGCCATTACGCTATATGCGCCGCATCTAGAGGACACATCAATCTGGGTTCGCCGATTTTCTACTGCCATGATGATACACTGCCAGCGCAGAACGCCACACCCTCTGCCTGAACGAGTTAATGAGACATGGTCGCAGGGGCCGTTGGACGTTGCGAACACATGTGGATCGTGGTTCGAGCATGTTCCAGCCTCAACTTTCTCGCTGCAAAATAAACTCTCTCCAAGGCACCCAACACAGCGCGACACCCACGCTGATGGATGGTGCATTTCTTTTCCCGAGACTGCCTGTTCGCGCAGCGGGGCTTTCTGGGAGGCGTCGCCAGATTACCATGCCAGCCACCCAGACCCCCATCGTCGCCCTACGGCGTCTCCAGCTCGCGCGCCCACTAGGTAAAACGGCATGGTTGTCATTTCGGAACCGCCAGGAATGGGCTGATATAGGGCCTGCAAAAGGGGCACCAAGGCCTACGACGGTGCTGACACAGGTGGTGCGCACCCACACGCAGTACCGTCCAAAGGCCGGGGGCGGGCGATCAGCCAGCCTCCACATGAGAACAGAGAAGCCTCCGTCGTCTGCTTAGCGGCTCTCGGCATGCATCGCAAT